TCCATATCACTTTGAAAAACTGATTCTGGTACAATCACCAAAATTAGGCAATGTCAAGCCTGATCAGTACCTAGATGGGTGACTACTTGGGAATACCACATGCTGTAAGCTTGGACGTGCAGGTGGTGTAATGGATAATGGCACAGAATCGTTAATTGGAGAACCGAGTTCCAAGTCTGAGTTGGGTTTGTTATATTCACTTATGTGCAAATACTTTTGGGAAAGATATGAATCTATCTCTTTTCTCCACAGCTAAGAATTAATTAGCAAAAAGTGTATCACTAAATCATTATTATCTCCTCCACCAATAATTTTATATTCTAAAAATATTTTCTGGGTTTAAACAACTTGCAAAGGGTTGATAAGTCATAAAAAACAAGAATTAAAGAGGACCATGAATTCCTAATTCAGAATCTTGCATGCATGAGAATTTACTTCAGAAGAGTTTATTTGGCTATATACTCATCGTAAGTTGTTTTTTTTCTCTGAATTATTTAAACCAATATCCTCATTTTTGTTGTATTATGCTTGAATTTTCAAGTTTAAAACAAGCTTTTTTTTTGCTCAAAGCCATGGACAGTTTAAACTGGATATGGTCAGCAAAAAATAATGTGTGATGAGATAAGGGATTCTGTTAAAAAATTACCAAATATAACATTGTTATGATGTTGATTTGGGGTTAGTAGAGACAAACGTCAAATAACACGTAACAATAAAAAGGGTTTTAATAGGTTAGTAAAAAGGTACAGAAATCCCCTGAGTAGTCAATAACTAGCTCAGCAAAGAACTTCTCTGTCTATCTGTCTCCCCCATGTCAACTGACATGCCACTATTTAAAGTCTTTGTTCACAGACGCAGACAAGTTCATCTTCAAGAGGGGTGGTAGGTTTCTGAGACAACAAACATACACCTGAGGAAGGCTGGAGAATGCACTGACTGAAAGAGTGATCAAAACAATAAAAGATGAAGATACTACCTTGAATAATTTATAGAATAAATATTAATACTTCATCTCAGAATGTTAGAAATTTGAAAGAGATAAGGAGCAAAAGCAGAATATTATCAGCTGATTATATAGCTGATGAAATACAGAGCAGCAGATTTTCTATTAAAGAAAGAAATAGATCAAGACAGAACAAGACAAACTAATGTAAAAACAGGGAAACAGAATGGTAAGTATTTGGAAAATCATGCATGATTTGGACCGCCTAAAGCACTTATGGTTATAGTACAGAAGATTTGAGAATTAAGCGAAAAAGGTGTCTTCACAACTCATATACGAGAAGAAAAACTGAGTTTAAATCAACAAAATATACAAATGTTAAAAAAGTATTTCTTTTTTTAGCTCACTCCAAGTAAGCCAATAAATTCACTAAGATGCAAGGGGTTACTGAGTGTTAGAGAATATGGGGAAAAAAACTATTTAGGAGAGAGAACATTAAAAGAACAAGAATTAAGAAAATAAAAGATAGCAATTGACATTGCATTTAAATTTTTGAAGATCAAAGTTGACTGGGAAGCAAGAAACTGGAAGAGAGTTTCACAAATGAGAAGTGTGATAGAAGAAACTGTTAGCATAGAATTTACAGTTACATCTAGTCATTTCAACTGTAAAATGATGAGACCTCACCACCAATCTAGTACTGTGCTTAAATTCATAAAGTTTAGGTACCATAGAGGAAAGCTCATCAGAACAATTACTATAAAAGTATTTATAGAAAAGGCACAGGGAAATTACATTAAGGCAGTAAGAAAGTGACTGAAGGTGAGATGCCAGGTCAGGACCAATAACATTGCAGATTCTTATCAAGAAGGAGCACTAGACCTGATGGGGCAGCAGTATTCAAAGCAAGGATGAATGGTAGACTTATAAATATGTAAGATAGATTCTGGCAAGGAAATTTGTCTAGCACAACACAGGGAATTAACTTTCCTAGCAGCAGACCTAGTAACTGATTTGATATAATCTTTCCACTTCATGTCAGCAGAAAACATTAGTCTGAGAAGACACAATGAGTCACTCTTCTGGAGGTTAGCATCATCTATAGTTCTCTTGTGACACTGAGGCCATGAATTAGTTAAAAGTTAATTCTGAGCAGGAAAGGGTTTAGCCCAGAATGGAATGTAAGCTGGTAGAGAGAGAAAGAGGAGACATTTTCATGGTGAAAATGGGACCATCTGGATTTCTTCTCTCCTAAAGTTTATATTTTCATTGATGAAAAAGAATTGAGAAATTTAAACAAAGAATGAACCCATTGTGAGGGTCAAAGTTATGAAGATCGATCCTGCTGTTGACTAGCAGATAATCTGGTTTCTATTTTCACTAGACAGAGATCAGCCCAGAAATGGAGAAACAATTTTATCTATTCCTTGAGAATTTAGGCAAACAAATATCATTAACAAAAAAAGAGACAGATGGGGGCTTATATTTTCATTGATGAGAACAAATTGGGAAATGTAAACAGGAAATGAACTCTTTTTGAAGGTCAAAGTTATGAAAACAGATCCTGTCATTGCTGAGTAGGTGATCTGGTTTATGTTTTTGCTGGACATAAATAAGTCCAAGAATGGAGAGATAATTTTATCTCTTCCTTGAGGAAACAAGAGAATTAAAATTAATTTAAAAATTATATTTGTCACAAAGACAGTTATGCCTGCACTGGGAGATAAGCTAAGGTGAAATGCTGAGAAGGAAAGAGGGATGATTTGGCACCACCTGTGTGGAGTGGTGGTGCAAGATGTGAAGTGAAGCAGGTTGGAGTTTGGGAAGGAGCAATCCCTGTAACTATCCTGAGAAGATGAATGATTCTCCAAATTTGGAAAGTTGATTAAGAAAGCAAAAATAGGGAACTAAGAATCCTTATTGGGATTAATATTAAAATTGAAAAATCACCAAATTCCAAGAACCCTTCATCCCCATGCCAGTTTTGGGCTGAAGTACATATAAGCAGATAGCTTTGAGAGCTCAGAGACTTGGGCTGAGAACCCCACATCAAGTGCCTCTGGAATCCACATCAATTGCCACCAGATTTCCTGATTCAAAAGAACTTTGAACCCCAAATTATTAGTTGAAGCAAAGTGTCACTATAGAGATTGATGTAAGAAGGATTTATTTTTGTTGTACCAAGAACTATATAAACCAATTGAAGATTAACCCAATGAATCTATGTTTTTATTTTCTCATTGTGAAGATATTTCTTCCTTAATATAGCACCTGCTATAGTTTGAATCAGTGTTGCGATTACTACAACATTTGATTTTCCATTGCTCTGAGATCAAGAACACAAGATAGGCAAAGTTGGTGTAGATTGAAGTAACCAACAACCAGCTTGGTCCAATGTTAGCACTGACCAATGCAGAGTTAGCCCTGTGATTAAAATATCATTCTAAGAACCTGAGGACCGGATCACTAAATGTCGTTACACCACTGAGTGTAGGTGGTAGTAAAAGGGATTATACTCTCCAATGATTAAATTTATAATTATAATACAAATTATAAAACATGACAGAACTTCTGTATGACTTGGGAATTCTAAAGACAAAATAAACATTCTATTTCAGTCTGATAATACCCGAATTCTATCTTGGACCAAATCTAACCAAAATTTAAATAAGTATATAACTATCTCTCTAAGGATTTATACTTTCCACATAATATTAGATTATATAAAAAATTACAGTAAATTTCAAGAGTCCATGCTAATTGCCAGTCCTCTGATGCCCATGAAATCAATGTAAGCATACCCCAAGGCACTTTCCTCAGTCCTACCCATTTTCTGCTATATATTAATGATCTAGCTAAAAACATTCTCAGTTCACTAGTAAATATATATGCAGACCATACCATGGTTTATGGGAACACCACACAAAAACAATCAGAGCCTGGAATTGATCTCTCCTCTGACTTTGTTCACACAGTTTAATGGAGGAGGAAGTGACATGTAGCATTCAATACATCCAAAACCAAACTAGTAACATTTCATCATCACAGAGCAGACCAAGTGTTTCTCCAGTCATAATGAATGGTTGCACTCTGAATGAGTCTCCTTGCTCAGAACGTCTGTTGGGACTCAAGTGGAATTTGTATATAAGATCCATTACCAAAAGACACTGGAAAAATCCTCAGTTTGCTGTATAGCTTCAACAAGTACCTGACTCCGGCTTTCATGCTCTATCTTTACAAGAGCCAAGTCAGACCAAAAATGAAGTATTGCTGACACATCTGGGCTGGAGTTTCTCAATCCTCACTTTCCAGCCTTAACAGTGTTCAAAGGAATTTGTGTAGCTTTTTGGGTGATGAATAGATTTCCCTCCAAGAACACATTTATCACAGATAAAAGATTGCTATTTTCATTGTACATTCCTTGGTTCTACCAGTCCAGACCTTCACAGCTAGTACCTACTGTCAATATCCTCATTCGTTTCATATTCTATTGGTAAGGAGGATGTTCCATTCAGACAGCTACTTCCCTAGAACTGTTGCATTGTGGATTAACTCCTGAGAGTATGCTTCCCCGATTAACCTATTCAAGTTTAGGGTCAACCGTTATCTATCTTACATATCCTTATAATATGCACCTCTTTCTCCCTCCAGGTATACCCTAACAACAATCTCATTTGGTAACCCTCTACCTTGAGTGGCTCTTTGGCCTTGTATTAAGTGAACAAGAATAAAATAAAAATAAAAAAATTTAAGACTTGTCATTTTGCTAAACAGCTAGTTTCTTTTGCAACATTCAAGATTTTTCTATTCATTAATGCTCTTATCTTTCTTCCACTGTTGCACTTAATATTTAAAATGATCGATTTCTTTTTTCTTTTTTACTAGTGAAAAATTTGAAAAATGAGCTTTACATCCATGACAAAAATGTATTTTTATGATTTCTTGGAATAAATTCAAAGTAATGGAAGCAACTTACTAATGACTGATGAAACAATTAAAATTAACAAAAATGAGTTATAAAAGAAAATAATGAAAAATATCAAAGGAAAACTGATGATCAGCTGTCATCTGATAACAGTGACCTTGTTTGGCACTGACATGATATCCGTTTTAGAATTTGACGCATTACTTGATTTTCATTTTGAGCTGCTTGCCACAGGATTTCCATATCATTTTCCATTTCACTGAAATGGAAGCAATAACAAATAATACAAAACAAAAAAAACAGAAAGAACTGATGTTATATCAGTTTGTTGTTTTTGTTGTTAGTGACTCAATTCTAGATGTTAGATTTGGAGTTTCATCAATCTATCAACAATTGTCATATCAATTTTATAATATTAATTTCTTAATGCTTGTAAAGTATTAAAACCACTTGTGTTTATCAATAAAGTAAAGAAAAACCAATTAAAAAATGAATAGTAACAGTACATCATCTAAGAAAATTAAACAACTAAAGGCTGTTATTAATAATAGAAACAAATGTTGCCTGGACTTCTGGGAGAAAATATTTTCATTATTTCATACATTATTTGGTTTAGTATATTCATCACTGCAATTTAGCCTTCCACAAATGCATATGTCACATCCAGTGGCCTTTAAACAACACTTAATACTTTTATTTACATTATTTACAGTCAGATTAATGTCATCATCTTTGTTGTTGTTATTGGGCTTCAGCCATTGTGTCCTTTCACCTTCTTCAGGTATATGTTGTTCTGAGAATTTCAAGCTCTTTATTTAATGTATTCATCCCAGGGATTAAATTACTATGCCACCAAAATGATGAACTAATGCTTTAATTCTCTAGGCTATTGTTTCATGAAATAATCCTTAGAACCTCAAACCTAATATTCCTCTGCTGCAACTGTTTCTACAGGCTTGCTGTCAAGTTCCCACTATTGCTACTTCTCTTTTTAATGCTGGGGCTGAAACCTTGAGTCAAGCATAGTTTCCTCCAGTCATTTCTCTTTCTCTCTCTACTAATGGCTCTTATATAGTATTTATTTCTACACTATACCTAGCATATGCCCTGATTCCTTCAGATGTCTCATGCTCTAGTTTCCTTCTCTATCTAATACTTTTAATTCATTTCATAAGGGCTAGTGGCCACTTTTTTCTTTCATACATGATCAACCATGCCTGATTTCAATCTAACAAGTGTATAGAATTAATGTAAAGTTCTATGTATGTAACAATTTTCAAGCAATACATTGGAATAAAACAGTCTTTGAAATGATCCCTGACATGAGAGATTGTAACAGACCAAAGTATTTTCTCCTGAATACTGGCTCCTCCATTGTATTAAAACATATTGAGTGGTATTTTGAGGAGATAATAGAAAAAGGTTAAAGAACAGCTGAAATGTTGTAATAAAAACTAATGTCATGATGCTGAGTTTCCAGTAGTCACAAATTAGGATGTATGCTGTATTCTTTCAAATATTCAATAATGGTGACATGATCTTTTGCTTTGTTTAATGAATTTTACTCCAAATACAATAACAACAACACAGATTTTTCATGTGGAAATAGTGAGAGATCCTTTAACAGGGAATGTTTGATTCCAGATGAACTTCTCCAAAAGGCCTGGTGGAAAGATGAGGGAAGCAAAACAGAAGAACAATATATTAATGGGAGTAACTCATCACAATTAAGGGTGAAGTGTACATGGTTACAGATTACTTCTCTATACTGTAAGTTGAACTATTTTCTTTCATATTTTTTACCTTAAATCCAATTGACTGAACTCAGTCATGCACATTATCTTCTTTCCTGTTATGCTTTTGATTAATACCTTTTTATTTATGTAGAACTACATCATGGCATCTGACATCAGTTTGAATTTTGGTAAAATTCAATTGAATTTGTCAGCCCTAAATAATAATCCTTCAATAACAATTTGTTTTGCTCTTTAAAAAAAAAAACACAGTGGCAAATCTAAATTCTTTTATGATTTTTGACAGGCTAAGATATTTGTACTTCTATTTGTTCTGTACAATGTGGTTACTAGGTCACTCACTCCCAACACAACATTACAAAAAACCAAGATGAAGATACTGATCATAACAATATGGAACCAATAATGTAAACAAAGCAAGTGATAATTTTTGTAACACATGCAAACCTAAGCAAAATGAAAAATTTTTATAAACATTTTGTCAGTAAATTTGAATTATGAAAAACATTTGGAAACCTGGAAATCATTTCATTAACCAACAAAAGAGTAGGAATTTGTTAATAATTTAATATTTATACAAATGAATGAAATGTTATGAATTCACTTTTTATACAAATGTATCTTCCATTTTGGTGCTATAGTCAAAAAATAATGAGAACATAGGAAAGAGCATAAAAGGCATGAGGTCTGTCCAAAAAGCATCCTGTCAATTCATATTAATGACAAAGTTCCAAAAGTTAAACAAAGTGTTAAGAAACAGGAAAATCTTGTTAAAAACAAAAGTGAACTGTTATAAAATGTCAATCATACTATATGGCAGTAAATGTTGAACAATTTCCTTAGATGAAGATGAGATTTGAGACAACATAGATGTGGTTCTACAGAAAGATGCTGAGAATGCCATGAATGGAACATGTGAGCAATGAAGAAATTCTGAGGAAAATAGGAACAAAAAGGACACTAATTGAATAAAAAAAGAAACAGTTGACATTTCTGGGACACATAATGAGAAATGTGAGCTTAGAGAAGTTGAAATTCAAAGGACATCAAGGCAAGGGTAAATGGAAACTGAGTAACTTAACGAGGGAGTGAGAGGAACAGCAACAAGAGAAATACGACTTAGAGCTATGAAGGACAAGCAGGTGTGGTGAAGAGAAAAGAAACATAAAAGAAGAAAACTACCTTAGATAATGATGCTTTAGTTCACTTGAAAGTATTCTCTTGGGATCTCACTTACCCTAGTATTCCTTCCACTTTTCAAAACAGTCTACAAAATCCTCTTTAGGAATCACCGACAGCTGTCTCATTGCATTCTTCTTATCTGTGGTTTGACCCTTTCAATGGAAATTTTAACTTTGAGATAAGCTGGAATGGAGTCAAAGCTGGAGTATAAGAGAGAACTGACAGGCCTGGGCAATATAATGTTTTGCAAAAAAGAAACATTGTATAAAATGTGAAGCATCTACTTGCTTAGTCATTGTAAATGATCCAATCACACAGCCCACAATGGCATCAGCTGACTGGATAAGCCCATGAAAGAATGTTTCTGCATGTACAGTAATTTCCCTTCTGATTGGTTTTTAAGTTACCTTAAAACTGCAAACCAATTCTCAATATATTCAAGATGGCTAAATACATTCCTGACAGACATCATAAGTGCATTCATTTTGCACCAATCATTTTCTTGTTTAAAAGAAATTCTTGTTTTCAATTACTTACAGTCTGTCTGCTTCAGAAATCTGCAACAAATGTTCTTTGTGCTTCAGTGTTGCACACAGTTGTCGTATTTGAATTTCAAATTCTTGTCTTAAATTATTAATGGCTTCCTTTTTGCACAAAAGCCTGAGGAAGAAAAAGAAGATGGTTGTTGTATATCAATTAAAATCTATAGAAAACAAAAACATATCAAATCATGCATTATGAAAATAAAATGTCTTGTTAACATGTTCATTAGTGTTTGCTGGGAGAAAAGGAAATGATAAATATATAGATATGATGTAGGGTGATCAAATTTAAAATGAATACTTTTTGCATCTAGAGTTAGCCCAGTTCAAGTAAATCAACAATATAGACAAACATTGTGAGGAAAATGATTTTTGCTGTCACTGCAAAGAAACAAATTCCACAAAGTATAATTAACAGAAAGAGAGAGAAGCATAAGCCCAGTAAGTAGTATTCAAAGAACTGAAGAGAAGTGATGAGGTTAGAATAATACAACAGAAAAAGGTGAATAAATTTGTGTGTGGATTTTTTATCAGCATCAAGTTATATGTTATGAAGAAATATATGAAAACTTCAGCCTTTTAACAATTCCACTTTTGCTTGACTTCAGCATTGTCTCCACATACAATGACAACACATTGACTTAAAAGGCTGAATGATAGGATAGAGCACAGATTGTTTAGAAAAAAAATAGAAAGGTTTTTTAAATGTTTAGGTACTAGGAATCACTGTCAAAATGGAGCTGAGTTGTATGAAGTACATGTTTTTGTTGCAATATATATTTTTCTGTGCCTTTGAATACAAAACTCTAATTCATGTTTTAATAAAACACAACCAGAAGTTTCCATGTATTTTTGATGGATCAGCTAAAATAAAGTTTGTTAAATCTCAACCCATTTTCCTATGCTTTCTGCCTTTATCTTTTCATGTCCAAAACAAGATAATCAGAGAAACATGTACAATTCCACACAAATTGCAATTTTTGTCTGAATTATTTGAACTATTGTCCTCACTTTTGTTGTTATCACTACATTTCAGCTGTTGTGCTCTTTGGATATCCCCAGGTGTATATTGATCTGGGTAATCTACAGGGAATTCTGAACTGAACCCTTTATTTAATCTAGTTCTTAGTTTTAATCTAGTATAATCTAGTTCTTACTACTGCTTAGTTATTGATCGTCTGCTTCCTCTTAGTCCAAGTACATACTGTGTGACCCAGGGATTGAACTCACAACCACTATGTCACTAAATTCACAAACCAACACTTGTCCTGTAGATCAATACGCACCTGAAGAATGTCCAAAATGTTGTGATAATAGTCCAAATATAAATAGTGTAAAAAATTGCAATTTATATTCTACCAGTACAAAATGATGAGATTATTTATACATGGTTCAGCAACCCTGGATAAAATCAGAGTATCTGCACTTTGCCTAGGATTATCTGTGCACTGTGTTTTATACACACAACCACACACATATATATTAAGCAATTAATGAACTTTTTTTTAATCTGACATTATTAATATAATTAGTTGATACACTTATTTGAATAGACATCCAGATTTTTTAAAATGAAATTAATGTCGTGATTGAATTCTAGGCAAGAAGACATTAAGTTCACTGTTTAAAAAATACAGAGATGTTTACTCAAACATGTATATATGCTCTAAATTTATTTCTAAAGAGTTAATGGATTTTTATTATTAATCTGACATATTTTTATTATTTCAAATGTTATTTTTAGTGGATATCCATATTTGAGTAGAACATCCATTTTTTTAAATACTGTTTATCTCATCTATTAGCTTGTGCCATGAGGAAAAAAAAAACTGGGACATTCTACTCAAATATGGATATCCATTAAATAACATTTGAAGTAATAAAAATAGGCCAAATTAAAAATAAAAAGTCTTTATAAATTGGTTTGTTTACATTTTGAGTATAAAACTGAGCAGATATGGCATTTGAGAAAAAATCTGAATGAGCAAATAGAACATTGTTTTGTTGTGAGGCTTTCCATAAATGAGTGGTCTAAAGGAATGTTTCTCAAACTTATTCTGGTTGTAACCCACTTCAATCCAATGTGAATTCTTTATGGACCCTCATGCCAACTTGAGTTCTTACCCCCCTCCCCTCTCTCCCCATCTCTCAACTTATTACATTTAGAGAATAATAAACATAGTTTGGATAGTACTATGGCATCAAAACACCAGTTGTAAATCAAAGAATATTATTTGGATAAATATTTTATTTGAATAAATTCATTTATTTACATCAGCTCTAGTATGGTTTCAATGGGATCCCTGTGACTGGTGCAGGACTGCCAAATTGTCAATGTCTGACTTGAAAGCCACCAGAGAGAAACATAAATCAACTCTTTTTACTACATCAAGATGATTTCAAGTCTTTGACACAGATGCATCATCCAACTGAAACCAGACTCAACCAAGTAAGATGTGCAAAAAGAGAGTAAGTGCAACTTCACATCTTTCCAGAGTAGTGGGTAATTCTTATGCATGTCTTCATTCATCCACAGCTTCTGGTATCCTCCATGCTTGAACCTCATTTGAGCTGCTATGTTATTTTGAAGTTCAATGAAATTTTCTTGTAGGATGATATCAACTTCAGATGCATCAGCAATAAAGGGATCCACAAACCAGTGCAACATTGTCATTTGGAGTAGATCAGAGAAGTGAGTTTTCATATCATTATGCAACTGCTTCAAATGATCAACATACACTGCAAGCAGCTCGTTGGACATATTTGCTAAGGAAGGAAACTGTGCAAACTCCCATCTTCCAAGGTTCAAGCAGAACAGCTTTAGTTTCCTGTTAAATGTGTTAATTGCCTCCTTGCAGAAAAATAGGGTGGAGTCATTTCCTTGGAGCTCATTGTTCAGGATATTTAGCATTTCAAAATTAAAAGACAAGTTGGTTAAAACATACCTTAATTTAAATTTTAAATTATGTTTCAAATTTTAAAAAATTCAAAATTAAAAATGGTCATTCCATATAGATCAGATGAAAAAATTACAATAAATAAATATTTATGTTAGCAAAATGGTTCAGATTAATTTAATATTTAAAGTAATAATAAATTTAATATTTTATTTTAAATATTAATTATTAATTTCAAAATACTCCATATATACATTTTGTGAGTCCTAAATTTTCTGTGCCCCCTCATGGACAATTTTTCAAACTTGGCCTTGTGGCCTCTGAAAATATCTCATAGCCCCCAAGAGGGCCATATAGCCCACATTGAGAAACCTTGGTCTAAAGCTTGCCAGATCAGATGGTGGTTCCACCTACAAAGGGGAATGCAGGTTTGAATCTTGTCAGAGGGCACATTTTCTTTATTAGGTTTCTTAAATGCACAGGCTGACAGATAAAATAAACACATTTAAAAAAACGTGATGTTCTACTCAAATACAGATATTCACTAAAAATAAAATGTGTATATATATATATATATATATATATATATATATATATATATATATATATATATATATATCATGTGGTCATGATGATATAAGGGCAAAAATGATAGGCTCTTATTCTAAAAAACATATTCAAGAAGAAGGATCAAATTATTGATATATTTGTAAAAGAGAAAATTACACAAAGAATGAAACCAAGCTAAAAATTGTAGGGATTAAAGATTTTCTTGTAGAGAAAGATTTTAGGAGATTAAATACTCACTCATCAGAAAGCTTCTTCTTATAAATCTGGAAAAGAAAGAGAACAAATAATCACAATGAAATGATAATAATTTTTCTTTTTTATAAATTTAAAATAATGTTTACTTTTCATGGTCAGTCATTAAGATAATCAGAAACAAATTTAGTGCTCACTGCACATTGAATAGATTTTGGTGAGAATGCAGTCAGTTGGACAAATTTATGGCATTTTATATATATATATATAAATATATATGCCTATGACAGAAGAATGACAGGAAATGAGATTGTTCTATAAACCCTATAAAAGAACCAATAATATAAAAGCTATTTTTTTAATGTATTTCTAGAAATTGGTAAAATTACCATTTATGTAATTTGTGAAAGGTGCCATTCTCGAAAGGGTTCCTCATCAAAAATTAGAATCAATATCTAAGATAGAATAAAGTGTGAGAAATGAATCTAGTAACAAAAAGTCAGCTTCTGAACAGATCAGAAGACATAAAAGTATTTTATTTTCTGTCCATGAAATCTTTGCAATGAAGTATTTATTTTCAAAATACTTGTCAGTAAATCTTTCTGATGAACTGAAGCATATTTTCAGCTCTTATAACCAAAACTTATCTACTTTTTGTAGCTATAAAAATGATGTTTTTTTTTCAATTCTGTGCAATGTAAAAATAGAACAGAATCAGAAATAAAAAAGATATTTCAAGTTTTAAATTCCAATTAACAATTTCTGATTTCTTAAATGCTTGATAAAAACAGTTTTGTCATTAATTTTCAATAAACTCAATAAAGACATTTTCAAAATAAATTCCCTTCTCATTGTCCTTCATTTTACTATCCTATTCCCTGTGTACCACATCCAGTGATGACCCTAGGATTGCTAGCACCTTGGGCAAGCTGAAATTCAAGTTCTTACAAGTAGAATTTTTTAAAATTTTTACAAGGAGTAAAACTGAAAATGTAGAATAACAAGTTTATTACAATATACAACTTAATACAAACTGAAGAAAACATTCATTATCCAAACTAAAACATTTTTCTAGCCTTTCAATATGCAAATCTTTTCATGGCATTTTCTACACCTATCTTTTTTACAAGATCATTATCTTTTGACAAAATAGCCAAAGAATTTAATCTGTCTTGAGTCATGGACAACACCAAATATGCTTTTATAAGCTTTAGTTTTGGAAGATCCTAAACACATGACATGGTGGGATGATAATGCTCTGGGTGAGTGCCCAAGTTACCAGGATATGGGGGATCATAGACCTTCATTATTTTTGTCTTTTGTTGCTTTCAGAAATACTTTCTCTTTGTGTTACATGTTCCTCCATCTATTTGCACAAACTTGTCACATATATTACTTAATATTTTTCTCTGCATCTTTTATGTGTCTTGTGAGTTAAATTCTCCTAGTTTTCTTTCCTCATTGTGTGTTCAAAAACTTTCAGCTATCTTTCTGATTCTTATGAGTAGTTACTCTGTAATTCACATTCTCCTTAGAACTTCCTTATTTCTCACATGCTCTGCCCATGGTATTCTCAACTACTTAATCCATTTTGTAATGCTCTTAACAGGGAAATAAGTAACAAAGCTGTTTGTGGCTAAAATTTATCCTTGGATATTATTGAATAACAAAGTTTGTACATTCTAATAAAGTCATTGTAAGAATAGTTGTTAACTTCAGACTGTAGAGCCAGTATGTTTTCAGACACCATAGGTAAAAATGTATGTACAATAAAACAAGTGTATTAATGCATAGATTTTGTAATGGCAAGTGACATGTAAGAAGGTAATATTTTCTCAGTCTAATTTTTACTACAATCAATACTTTAATCACACCATATTGTACAAGCTGCCTTTTTTTCTTTTACTTTGTGTTGTATTCACAATTTTTGTGAAATTACAGAAAACCACTGCAAAAAATGCCATATATATGATTTACCATTTTGACATGCATCAAAGAAAATATATATTTAAAATATAAGATTAAGTAAAAAAAAATAACTCAGCAATGGCTTCAACCTTGAGTTTATTTTTGATTTGTTTGTGTTGTTCTGCAGATTTGCTGTGCTTTTCAAGGATTTTTTGTACAACTTCTTCATTGAGCCGAAACTGGAAGGGAAAAAAACCCCAATAAGCATAAGTAAATATAAATCAAAATAAAAACTGGTCTTTCATTAATAAAACCTGCAATGAGACACAATTTATTATCTAATCATCTTCTCAGACAATTATTATACAAAGTCTTCATGAAAGTAAAAATATTTTTTACAAAAAATTAAAAATAAAACAACAGCCAAGATTATTTGATGGGAGAGAATACCCACTCTTTTTTCCCAAATCTTAGAATTTCATAAAATTGTAAAAATGAAATTAAAAAAAAAATTAAAAATTAGTTTTGATTAATTGATTTTCTATGGTCTATCATTCATTTGTAGGTTATTTAAAGTCAAAACATATTTTTGGATTGTAAGAATAATCCTTCTTTTCTTTTTTTAAGTGGATACTGTGTTAACGAGTTTTTGGTGATAATAAAGATTTTCAGATAAAAATCTTGCTATTTAACCCATATATGGGGGAGAAGAGGTGGCAGTTGCACATAAGAATAATAATGATACAATGAACCCAACTGGAATTTGAACTCAGCTCTCTGACTTCGGGTTCTGATCTGTTATCAATTACACCAACCGCACATCTAAGCTTACAGCACCTGGTATTCTCGAGCAATACTGACCAGGTTTGACATTGCTTAACTTTGGTGTAAGCCTTAAAAATAAAACAGCTGATATTATTTGATGGTAAAGAAGACACACTTCTTATAGAATTTCATAAAATTCTAATAAAAGCATAAAAAGGAGCAAATATGAAACATGAGTAACATTTATGCACCTCCCAACTTTTTTTTCTTTAGAAATAACTCATTTGATGGCATATACGATCCATGAGCATATAAGACTTCCTTCTTCATTTCAGTGGAGAATATTAAGAAAAAAAAAATTTAGTGATGCATTAACAAAGTTTACAACATTCTAATTTGAGTGAGAAGATATTTAGGTGCTTAATACAGAAAGTTGGATATTATACATAATTATAAAACAAACCATACATTCTGCAAATAAATTTAGGCTTCTGAATTTGCTTTTATTGTCTTATATACTGATGAATATTATAATGTTTCATATCCAATTCTGTTTACTGAAACTGAATTGTCTAAAGATTTCTTGAAAGGCTTTGACAGTTGCACTTGTAAATTGATGCAATTGAATTGTAAAATTAAAAAAGAATACTCAGTAATATAACATACACCTGAAGAAATGCAGAGATAAAAATAACAAAAATGAGGATACTAATCCAAATAATTCCTGGTTTGGTTGGTTGGTTGATTTTCTTTAGCAGCATATCAACCTCTATTTAATGCCAAATTCTACATATTTTGAACACAATTTTATGGCTTTATGTAAATATATTTTGAATGCAATTGCATGCCTTCAGTTACAAGCAAAATGTATTGTTGTTAATTCTACTATAATATGTATTGCTAGTAATTTTACTATTAATAATATGTATTGTTGGTAGTTTATATTTTTTATTTATAGTAATAAATATGTATTTTTATACTTTCATAGAGTTTTATTATTTTTGTTTGAGGGTTCACTATTTGCCCATAGGTTTGGGTGGACCTGGGAACAACAGCAATTAAAAAGTGGTTCCATGTTCTTCAAAACCTCCTGATCAGAGGTCTTGCTGCTGGATGTTGAAACAATTTCTGAGTAGATGAGCATGAGCAAATATTGGTTATGTCAAATTAAGTCTCAACTTAGGCCAAAGTTTGGATTTATTTTCTTTTATTGGCAAAGAGATAGAGAATGTGAGAAAGAAATGAAATCTGTATATCCTGTCAGGTAAAAGGAAGCATTAAACACACTGTAGGTATATAGAAAACTATTCATGAATCTGTGGATATGAAGTTAAGCTGAAGCAGTAGATTTACTGCTTTGAGAGATAATAGAATACATTAGTTGCCTCTTTAGGTACAGTGGTATTTCCAACAAAAGAAAGTAAATCTTTCTGAAAGAAACCAAATAAAAAAAATGGGGGTAAAGAAACAGAATCTAAGAACATCTTTAAAAGACAATGTCAGTGTAATGAATTCCTCTTAAAAATAAGTTGTAAGATTATACATGACAGCCACTTAATGATACAGCTCCATACAGCGACGAAAGCACTGGTCATTTTTCAGTTCATTAACAGCAACCAAATGGTAAGGTTGCTTTCTTTAGTTCAGGCCCCACATGGCCCGTGCAGAGACTAAATCTGCCTCCCCAGCAGCTTACAAGTCCATGATGCCCTTTCCATTTGGAAATATATCTTTCCCAGATATAGAATGAAACTCCAGCTCTCAGTCCTCAATTTGTTTCCTGTTTGTAGAATATGTCCTTGCCTGGAACATAGATGAATCTGACCCATTTGAATCTGGAGTCCTAACAATAGCTTCTCCAGACACAGGAATATCTCCATATTATATGTAAGACACTTCCTTTTTGTTTCAACTTACATTCTGCTTTGCTGTGTAGATATATGCGATATATGGGATGTATATATATATAATTAAGTTACGAAGAACTTGGTAAACCGAATGGGTAATTCCAAGGAGGATGAAATCCTGAGAGCTCAATGTGAATACAGAGCTAATATTTAATGAAAAAACAGACCACTTTAAGGTACCATTACAATAATTTATTTCACCAAAAGTGTTACCTGATGATCCAGAGTCCTTCAAAAAGGATTTTGGTGAAATAAATTATTGTAATGGTACCTTAAAGTGGTCTGTTTTTTCATTATATATATATATATATTGAATTTGTAGGTCTGATGAATTGGATCATATTTACGATTCCAATGGAATAAATTATGACCATGGAATATTAGTGTTTAAGCCTTTTTATTATATCCTTACTCTGTCCTGGACATTGAGTTCTACCTGGATTCTATCCTCATGGAATTTTTTTATTCAAAAAATATATATGTATGTGTATGCATGTATGTATATATATTTATATATTTTGCATATGTATGTGTATATTTACCACTAATATTATCTATATATATATATATATATATATATATATATATATATATATATATATATATTAGTTATGTCTTAGTAATATAAAAGTCTCTCTGAGAATAAAGCATTCCTTTTCTTTTCAGCCATTCCATCTCATCTGTGAACTACAGTGTTATTATATCACGGATATAATAATGCCCATAACAGGGGAAATAAATGGGAGAATAAATCTTTCTTCCCTGGCTCTCCTCTCATTACAAAGTTTTTGTGTAAAGGCATAGAAGACTGTTTGATAAAAAAGGGAAGAAGGAGAATGATAATGGCAATGAAATATAGCAGCAAGAATGGAAATAGGGGAAATAATGGAAAAAAAAAATTAAATATATTGGATTTTTCCTTGAATGGATGACAGAGAAACTGAACAAATGCATTAAAATACTTACTCTTTGCATTTGTTCTTGAGAAAGGTATTCCATATTCTGTGTGATCTTTAAGGCTTCAAGAAGTTTTCTATTAGTTATTTCATATTCCCTGATAAAAAGAAATATTTATAAAAACCTAAACAGGTGTAATGAGTACAATATAGGGTGACCTTTATGATCACTCAGTAGAAGCAATGAAAAAAAAGATCAAGGTCACACTTTTGCCCCATAAAAAGAGATCATCCTTGCTACAAGGTCAGGGAAACACTAAAGATGTGATTAATGAGCTACAAATTTGTGTGGCATATGTCAATGGTCAGATGAAATAAACAATGTATATTATAGAAAGGTCATCACTGAAGAGAGGCAAGTGAGACTGGGTGTAGTACATCTAATCTGACCTTACACAGGTAATATTGAATGGATGCCATGCAAACAATCACAGACAGTATGTGGGGGTTAGATTTATCCAACAAGTAATAAAACAAATACAATTAAAACTTATACAAGTAAAAAAGAAAAAACAAACTCAACAGCTCTCTCTTCTTTCCTAAAATCAGAGATATAGCTAATCAAGAGATCAAGTCATCTAAAATCATTATTTGGATTATATATTAATTTTCCCAAGTGATAAACTTTAATAAGATATTTTTCAGCTCAGAAAAGTCCCAACATCAACACAATGCTCATATACAACATAGAGACTAATTGTCATGAGTTACAAGAAACTTCAGGACATAACTCACTCATCAAATTTTTGGTACCAACATAAATGAGAGGCAGAGACAATGAAAGCATCAAAACTCTGCTAAAATATAAACTGTAGTAAAATACAAGAAGAACTTCAAATATAACTTAGCACCTTTCTGGTAGAAGAGTATTGGAGCCAAATGATGGAATCCATGAGTTACAATTCCATATCACTTCAGCTCAAAGAGAAACAGAAAATGATTCAACATTCTACCAATAATTGTATTCTTAAATAAGAAATTCTGAACAATTAGTGAACTTCATTTCATAACCTATAGCCTGGTTCGTTTTTACTAATACTGTTCATGCAATGAGCATACACATTAATAAAAGCATATTGATAGCAACACTTATACATTTACACTCATGTGATGACTTGAAAATATACCTATTGTTAAGACACATACACGTTCTATTATAAGTTCAGTATCCACATTCAATTGATTTTAATTCCTTTGACATTGTGTGAATACATATAAAATCAAATTCTTTCATTCATGTTACATTAATGCTTTATCTTTAGTGTCCATTTTCATAAAGCAATCTTTTACAAGCAAAATAAATTCATGACAAGATTAAATTATGATATTGGTATATTTAACACCCTAAATAAATGTAATGTTTCTGATATTTAAACAGTTTTTTTTTACTCCACCTCCAAAAAAAATGCTCCAGTACACTTCAAAGAATCTAATACATTTAACTAGAGCAACAACTACTTTGTCTAGCAAATGATAAGTTTCATTTTAAGAAGAATTCCCATTTTTGTCTTTTTGGTGAAATAAGTTTGACAGTAATTTGAAGTTTTTTAAATAAATAATAAAATTTTTCTTTATAAAAAATTCTGAATACTTTAAATGCAAAGTATGATGAAGTTGTAGATTTTGCAGACAATATATAATGAGATGATAACTAGTATATTGGAGAGAAGCAGACAATGACATTTTTAGTGTTCAATTCCAACTGCTCTATTGTTTTAAGTCATTCTATTTTCGCTATTAAACCTAAAAACTTTTAACATCTTGTGGCATTGTTCAAGATCATGACAAATTTGAGTAAAGAGACATTTAAATAAGTTATTGATATTAAGATATTCATACACTATTTACATTATTCGGATATTGTCCTCATCTTTGTCGCCATATTTATTACAATGTTTGTGGCACAGTGGATAAAGACGTTAGTTAGATCCAGTGACAGGACCCAAAGAGTATGAGTTCAATACCCGGTTAAGGCAGTGGAGAACTTGGAGAGGGGAATTAACAGGAGATAATTGATAACTGACATCCATTAAACATGGCACGTGGAACTAGAACAGTATACCCCAGTGAGTGAAATAAAGGGTTCAGTTCGACATTCCAACCATCTGAAGAAGGCCAGAGCATACAATGGCCGAAACATTATAATAAATATGACGACAAAGATGAGGACAATAGTCTGAATAATGTAAATAGTGTACATAATACCTCATCTCAGAAATATAGACAGGTAAGATATTCATATACTGAAAGCTTCATATATTTTCCAAGTGCAATGAAAAATTCCCTTTTTACAGTCATCTTTTCTTGCTGAAATTAAATTTTAATAGTTATTATTTTCATAAACAAATGTAAGTTTTTACTTTACAGAATAATTAAAAAATATGCAAGTCTTAAATTAAATTTTGATAAGGTGAAGAAAATACACAATAGATACAATGATCAATGTTAAAGAATCATTTTCAGAGTTACAACTTCACTACTCAGTTGAAAAAAATGATAGTAGATAATTGTAGATTACTTTCATTTTAGTAAATTGGCATTAAATATTCCACATTTCTTCCCTGACAGCCAATATTAAACAGGATGTATTTTGTTCACCTCTTTGAAATTTTTAACAATTATTACATAAGTCAACAATTGACAATTTTTGAAGTTTTCATTACACACATATAATTTCAGGCTATTTTCTTCATTTTCATTGTTTTTAACACATTTCAGCTAATACATTCTTCTGTCTTCCTGTTAGGTATGAAGTTCTGAGATGAAGTCTTGTCATTATTCCAAAAATTTTGTTTTAATAATGTCTTTAATAGGGTATCTGTGCTGTCAAAATTGATGGCAGTTAGAAAATTTTAATAGTGAGATGCAATGAAAGAAATGTCTTGAAACAATGTACTGTGATTCAATAAAGTGGAGGTAATGAATTCACAACTAAAATAGAGGCCAATGAACCATTTAATCAATCTGTTCCCTTTATATTTTCTAGACGTTTAATGGTATCTATGATTCCTTGATTAATCTTGATATTATATTGTTGTGATCGCTATGAATTGAGTGTGAAATCAGAAGGTTTTAGTTGCTAGCGTGATGAGTTTGAAAGCATGTTTTTCACATGAATCACAACAAATAAAAGCAAAAAATAAAAATCAAATAAAACTCAATGCAAAATGAACAAGAAACAACGGTTGATGTGCATTCAACTAGAAAATATCGAACATTTATATACAATTTTTACAAATAGAGAAAAGGTTGTGTATTGATGTTATGCAAGTTGACGAAGTTTGCATCAAGGATATTAAATGAATTAAAGTTCAGCAATGTACAATTGTTGAGAAAATGTTCACATTGTAATACCAAGGGAAAATTTATTGAGAAGTAAATGTAAAAATAATGTATGTGAGATTTAAGTTGAATTTGTTAACCTTGTTTTGACAGAGTTGTTCACCCTGGACTGTATTTTCTTTTGTCTCATGCTAACATTACAATTTCTGTTTCGTAATGTAATTAACACTTTTTAAGAAAGCTGTAATGGGGTTTAGAGAGATAGAAAGATGTTGGTAATTGAGTCAGGAGTTGACACGCGAAAAGTTCTCAAGTCAAAATGTAGACACACGTGGATCTGTGTGGAATCTCTCTGAAGGCGAATTACTGACTGGTGAATTGGACAAATTCGTCCTTTTATTTGTTTTGGGAAACCAAAGTAGGCTCCAACGAGCCTGGCGGGAAAACAGATTTTTGACCATGGATACACATTCTGGGGTCGTCTTGACCAATAACAAGCCGAGTTTCACAATGTGTGGTGTTGATTGGTCAAAGCTAATTCTTATAGAAGAGTCTATTTTTAACGGGGGTGAGTAGACAAACATGGACGATTCTATAATATAAATCAATTTTTGTTCAATATCTTTTCATGTTCAAAATTTTATTTGTTTTATATAACAGTTGAATGGAAATATCTTTTGGAAAAAAAAAGATTAGCAATAGAACAATAAAGATGGCAATGACAATGCCTATTTCAAGATCAAGTTGAAGCAAAACGTTCACTTAATAGATAAAGGTATCTTACATGAAACGTTTGAAGAAATAAGATTGCAATCTAAGAAACGTAGTAGTAAAGGAACTGATTAATTAAACGGTTCATTTTGCCTGGGAACTAATTTTGTTTAAATGTAGATTTTTAAAATGACTAAGGGAAGTAAATTTACTAACTTCATTTGATTTATCTCCCTTTCTACAAATGGAACTGTAAATATAGAAATAAATACACACTGATAATTAATGTATGGTTTGATTGTATAGTCATATAATTCTGTTGTTTTGGAATGTACTACTTGAAAAAAAGCATTAAATGAATTCTAAAAATCAGATACAACATACACTTGATGAATCTGATGAAAAGTTGTATTGATAATTACAAAAGAAATTAAATAATACATGAAATCAGTAGATATTTCCTAATGTCTGCTGTAGTCAGTGAAGTATAATTCCTTTTTTGAGAAATTGTAACATAATAAAATGATGTATTAAGAAATACGTTGTTAACTCCCTTAAATAGTTATATTTAAACTAATCACCCACCTCATATAGAATATATATGATTAGACTAGGATTCAACTGAGTTTAGAATGATTCATTTGCCTGTCTCATGAAAATAAATCCAATTCCATCTCTCAAAGCAAAAGAATACTTAGTTCATACAATGAAAAGGTTTTTTTTATAAACTTTAATAAAAAAATATAATTAATAATAATAATAATAATAAAAAAACAAACTCACCTTGTTTTTGCTTTAAGACCTTTTATTGTAGCATGCATACGTTCAATTTTATCCTTGCATTGAGCCTGGACACTGAGAGACATTTCTTTGTCTTTATAACATGACTTCATGGCAAAAAAAAAAAACATTAGAAGAAATTATTTTACAATTAATTTCTTTCCAAAATGTAAAAAAATGAAAATATTTTGCTGGCTAAAAATGAATTAACATTGTAACTATTGTAATATCCAACTTCTATCATGAAAAGTTTACTTGAACCATTTTCAAATTTTATTTCTTGCATAAATTTACTGTATAAAATTTAAAATAGTCATTCTAAATTATTAGTTATTGAAGTTTATGTCAAACTAGAAAAAAATGACAGGTCTTTACTGTTTTCATATGTACGTCTTCAAATATACGAATAACTTGTCATTGCAAAGTAGATAAATTAAAGCAAAAAAATTAAACAATTACTTGGAATATTATATGGCTATACAATTTTAAGTAGAAACATCAAGAACTGATTTAGAATAAAAATACATAATCACTGACTAAAAAAAAAATCATAAATAATTTGTTTGAAAATTGATTATAAATTAATCAATTCCAGATGTCATTGTAAATGGTTTATAACAGGAAATGCTGAGCAAATGATTCAATAGAGGGAACTTATTTCAGTGTAAATTATCATTTTAAAAAATAACTACATAAATAACTTACAATAGACTTACTACATGAATACAATGACTCAACCTGAAAAGATATCAGCATCCTTCTGTTGCATCAAGTCTCTTCTTCATCTGTGAAGAGATTGTCCAGCATTCACTGTCATATAGGAGAACTGATATTATGTAAGAGTTCAGTACTCTTTTCTTTGTTTGTTTCTACATTATTTACAAAGGCATTTTTTGTTAAAAATGAAAATATCTAATCAGTAAGGAATAATGGATTGGTTGTGATATCAATAGTGCAAGTTGTCATGTTAAAAGTTCATTATCACAGGTATCATTTAAATTTGTTTAGAGAGCAGGACACATTTATTAACCGAAGGCCAATAATGAAATTATAGTCTCATTTTCATATGAAATGAAAGCCTTGAAGAAATAGTGGGTAATAATTTGATTTTAGTGTATTTCTGTCAGTGATTTACTCCCATGTTTTATCCAGACCTCTAGTTAAGTGAGTACACAAGGCTTCATTCTCTTTCCCCAATATATAGGTTCTAAGCCAACCTCAGACTGTAAAATATAAGAATAATGAATCATCTTGGTATGTCCAAAATTATTAACCAGAAAATCAACAACCTATTTTAAAACTTAATTAAAATGAATACATTTTTGAAAGATTTTTCCCAGTTTTTACAAGAAAGAAAAAAGGCTAAAATTTTCGGTCCGCTGAAAAATATTTTACAAAGTATTTTTAGTTACCTCACTGGGTAATGGTTACTTGGCTAGTTTAGCAAATCACTGCTATTGTATAGTGAGTTTGATTCTCACTGGGTTCCCCACACTAATGACCTTGTGAAAGACTGACTTTTATATATATTAGTTGCCTTCAAAGCTTTATCTTTCACTGTATGAAAGCTATTTAAGAGTCACTCCTGTTTGAATTTTGTTCTGTTCTTTTCTTTCTTTTTCTCACTGAAATCAAACAGCATCTCTGATATGTCTTTTCCTCTCTTTCCACACAATCAAAACATAACAGAGTCTATTATTTTTTAGGTATTGGCAGGGCATAATGTACATGCTAAGATATTGATGGAGGGACAAACAGAATTATAAAATACTAACTTTGCAAAAAAATGTCTAAAATACATTGGTCATGTTACAGACATTAGGAAATACTTTGGCTGGATCCCAGTACTCCAGATTGTACTTAGAGACAAAAGGTTAAGAACAGTTAAAGAAGGTCATTTACTTCCAACATTGTGCAGTGGTTAGCAAATGCTAATTCAGTACTCAATAAGCACTCCTACTACACAAGCTTAGTAAATATTTGTTTTTCTTCTTCTGTGTGTTGTAATAAATGAGTAGAAAATAAACTGAATATAACCCAATGCCCCTTTGCAGTTGTGGAATAGCTGACCATGTTTAGGGAGGGATTCATTGTGCAAGTGATTTGCTCTATAAAATAAAGACCATAATTGCTTTTTTAAAAAAGCTTGAAAATAAAATTGCTGATTATTTAAATATGAGTGTGGTGATGGTGGTGGTGGTGGTGGTGGTGGTCATGGTTTTGGTGGTAATAATAAAAAGTGAAAAATAGAAAGTGAAAACCAAAAAGGATCTTACAGAGTGGCTGGAAAAATATCAGGGCCTTGCAAGAGAATTGAAAAAATTATGGAATATAAAAGTGACAGTTGTAACTATCATTATTCTGAGTGCTTGGAACAGTGCCAAAAATTCTTGTAAATTGGTTGGAATACTTAGAAATTCAAAGAATAATCAAAACCTTTCAGATGAGAGCATTACTAAATTCATCTAGAATACTAAAGAGAGGGCTAGTGTGTGGTTGAAATGTGATGTAACCAATTATGTCTGATGTGAAAACACAATGTGTACAAATAACAATGGGAACAAATAAATTGCATAGAAAATAAAACTTTGAATTTTGTAATCCAAGATTTCTAGGTAACAATTTTGTTTTTTTTTCTGTTCTTTGTTGTTTCAGTTCTGTGATTTGGTATTTAAGTTACTTTATGTTAATTCAACATAAAGTTATATATATATATATATATATATATATATATATATATACAAAGTTGTATCAAAAATATTTTTATAAACTTTGGGAGTGGGTTCCTCACACCAAAACAAGGACAAAATTTCATGTAAATATATCCACAAATCCTTCATTTTTGAGGTATTAAGTTTCAAGAAAATTTATGGTAGACGGCACTGTGTTGCCATATAGGCTAGGTTAAATTTTTCATTCGTGTACATTTGTGGCTAGTCTGTCTTCAATGTTTAATGTGTGTAGTAGCATGTTAACTGTGAAGTGTTCCATTTAACAATGGCAGGCTATTAATATCGTGAGCAGGCACATATGATTTTTACATATGGTCATATGAATAGTAGTGGGGTTCACTGCTATATCAGATAGCATCTCCAGACAGAAGGCAGCCGAGTCATGCAAACTTTGCTGCTGTTTATTGTCTGAAACAGGATCCATGGCATCACAAACTATGGGTTGAGGAAGACTGAGATTTGTTCATACACCTGCCCACAAAGAACACATTCTACAGCCTGTCAGAAATGATCCAGGTATAAGCATACATCAAGTGGTTCTAGCATGTCATACATCTCATAGAGTACTTCAAGAGCATCTCCTGTATATGTTTGATTTGAAACGTGTGAAGGGTCTTTCGCCCTCTGGTCACTCACCACAGGAGAACTTTTGCCAATGGTTTATTGCACAAGTTGCTGATCCATTGTTTGTCTCTTCAGTCTTGTTTACAGATGTGGCAACATTTGGGAGAAATGGAATAACAAATTTACACAACCAGCATTTGTGGGTGAATTGGAATACCCATGATACAATATAGACTAGACACCAGCATCAGTTTATGATTAATGTGTGGGCTGGAATTGTAGGTGACTGTCTGATACATCTTACAGGAGCTGTTTACAGGGACTTTATTTTGAACACACTTCCAGACCTGCTAGAGAATGTACCCTTTCTAATACGAAGATGCATGTGGTTCTTGCATGATGGGGCTCCAGCACATTTTAGTCACTTTATTAGCAATGCACTGGATGAGTTTGTAGAAGTATTTTTGGATTGTATCCTGGATTGTACATTTAACAGCATCTACCATAAACTATAAATTTAATAACGCAAAAACGAAGGATTTGTGGACATATATTTATATGAACTTTTGTGTGAGGAAAACAAAGTTTGTAAAAGTATTTTTGATACTATATATATATATATATATATATATATATATATATATATATATATATATTTGCTTTCCTATTATTATTATTATTATTGTTGTTTATTGAGAATATTGTCAATCCACTTGTTAAGAATTTTGTCAATTATGCTTAATCATGGCCAATTTTTTCCTAGTTGACACCTGTCAGATTTTCAATGTAAGCAAGAAAAAAGAGTGACTGAGTAGAACACTGTCAGAGGCAGATTGTAGCTTTATTGTAACCACTACCTATAATCACAGGGTTAACCCCTAAATGAACAGAGAAATTATTGTCTCTAATTTTTTGGGCATTTAAGTTGATTCCATTTTTGTAACAAAAATATTTACTTTCTTCTACTTAAAAAAAGAAAATATAAATATTCTCTTTATAGTAATACATATGTTGATGATTAAATAGCATTATCTAAATAATAAACCTCTTTCAAAAGTACCAATTTTAAAAAGAGAAAACAGACAAGTTTGAATCATTTGTGACACAAAAGTTTCAATTAATTTAGGCCATTTCAAAATGCTCTCAAAATACATATAAGAATAGGTTAAATTTTTACTGAGAAGTATTGAAAAAAATAAGACAAATAACTGAGTTGAGGCCCTTGGCAGTAAAAAAAAAAAAAAATTATAAAAGCACCTAATTTTTCTTATTTTATTTTTTATTTTGAGGAAACATTTTCAATCATTATTCATTTTTGACTGAACTTACTTTCATCCTAATCTTTTAGTTGCTTTTTATTGCAAATTTACAGAAGTTACCAATTCCACAGCATTGAAGAGATATCGCAGCATCAGGAATAAAGTATAAGCACACGATGGGACTTAATCTCACACACACTTTGCCTCAGGGAAACCAGTTAAGAAATTGACAGCCTACAAAAGACCGACTCTACCACTTCACATCACTCGATAGTTTTTATCAGTATTTATTTTAATTTGTACTCAAACAGTATTAATGGTATCAGCAGTATAATTTTTTTTTTTAAGATGAAAGCAAAAAATTAATAAGAACAGTTTACAATGTTTCATCTTCTAAGATAAATAAAATAATACTAGCCTGGCAACATTAAATAGTCAATGGTGGACTGTTCCAAGATGTTTACAAATCCAGAAGGTGAAAAAAACGACTGTGACAGATCAGAGTACAGCAACAATAATTGGAAAAAAAATTTTGATTCTATGGCTAAACTAGTATAAAATATAAAATAAATTATCAATGTAAGAGAGACAACTGTACAGCAGAAACAAAAAAAATGCAGACATTACAGGCAAAAAATATTAAAATAAATGACTAAAATAGCAATCTAAAATAAAATGCAAATGGATAGTGTTGGTAAAGATAAAGGTAGGTCTTTGCAAAATCTGATTCTGATGTATGTACTTGTTTGTTAATAAATTGCCTACAGGTATGTTTTTAGGAGTTACTTTCACCAAATTTTTTTGTACATCATAAATACATACTTTGAACAAACAATTATTGAACTTTCTTGAAATGCAATAAAGATGATTTACATATTTTAACAACATCAGAATGTAACTGTCAAAAATGATCAACTTACCTCAAGTTCAGTCTGCAAATCAATTTTAGCTTTTTCATGTTCTGCAATGGTGTCATTGTGTTCCCTTCAAGGAATTAAAAAAAGACAACTTAAGCCAGGTTTCAACAGGGTTTTTAGATTCAAACTCAAGGCAAAAAGCTAAACTTTTACCCATTTTTCATATTTTAAAATGACTGTTATAATCAAGCAGTTAGACTTATGCTTGTAAAAGTTTAGAATTTTATCTATGTAGATGTGTGTTTGTGTGTACATATATATATATATATATATACATACACACACACACATACATATATATATATATACATACACAGATACATCAATAGATCTACAGCCTGCCAAGTTATTAATTGAATTCTGATCGGAAATGTTCACTGTATAATGTTTAAATTATATGGTTAATATTTGTTACTGAATTAAATGCATTGACAAAAGAGGAGATTATGTTTAAAATAAATGCTTTTTTTAATCATAAAGCTGCAAACTTATTAAGTATATGAGGGCAGATGCTGAAAAGTTCTTGGTTCAATTCATTTCCCAAAATCTACACTAATAACCAAACATCAATTTTTTGGCATTCTTTAATGTCTATGTGTATCCATGTATTGTTGAATGCATCTGTGCAATTTAGAACAAAATAATTTTTGGATTTTATTAATAAAAAAAAATTAAAATAATAATTTATAGTTTTATATTAGGGTTTATTTAGACCTGATTAAAATATATCAAGAACTTCACAGAAAGATAATATTTTGCAATAAAACATACATTTTTTAATCTTACTATTCTATAATTTTAACTCTGTCACATTTTGCAGCTTTTTTAGCTGTACAATAACATGTAAATATTGTCCGTGACTAATATCGATTGTAAACAGCTCATAAAGTCCTCTCCCTGCAATAGAACCATTAATGGAAATGGGTATTAAAGTAACTTGTATCAGCTGCAGGTCAATGCATATTGAAGCAATATAGTGAGACTTTTATACTTTAATGCGAGTCACATTCTCCAAAAGAAATACTGCAAATTGGTACAATTTATTAATAAGTCTATGGATAGTAAGGTAACTTGTAATAGTTAAGTAAATATATTTTGAAGCAGTGTAGTGATTTTTTTTAGATCTTTAGATGAAGCATTTTCATTATTATTATATTATTACTTGTTTTATTCCAACTTATTGTTGCTTTTCATTACAATACTCAAGGTTAACAAAAAAAAAATGCATTATTATATTTTTTTTTCTTAAATGGAATCACTCCAAGCAAGACAGGTTACAGTGTGTGGAAAAGTTAGGAATAGAAACATTAATGATGAGCATAAAAAGAAGAGAGTAATCAGGTGGACAGTAGATAGCGATTGACATTGCATTTAAATTTTTGCAAATTAAAGATGGCTGGAAAGCATGGAGCCAGTGTAGGATGAAAGTTCAAATCTTAATGTAAGTAAGTTACATTATTTCTAGCTTCTTAATATCTGTTCTATAATGTGAATATGACACTTTTAAATTATCTGATTTTTAATTCTTGAGCAATCAGAATGAAGTCATTTTAGATTTACTAATGAATAACTTACTTCTTTAGGGCAGAAAGTTTGTTTTCATATTCTGTCAAAGCAATTTTATTTTGGTTTTCTGATTTCAGCCTGTCCAGACTGATCTTCAGTTCTTGATTTTTCTGCACTTCTTGCATGAGTTCCTGTTCAAGTTTGTTGCACCTTTCACTCTTCAGGTGCAACTGGTCTTTCAGTTCTTGAACTGCAAAACAGTAAAATGACATTTCACCATTATTTCCAAGACATTTGAGTTATCCCCCCACCTCTCATCAACATAGGTCTTATTTCAGTATTAGATGGATGAAAATTAATTTTGCCAAATATGATTTTCATTAAAATTACTAGCATAGTAACCATAAAAAATGATGGCCTCAGCACTTATGCCCAGGAACATAGTATTTGTACATAATGTGAAAATTGTTAAAAAAATAAATAAAAATAACCCATGTTAATCCCAAACTCCCGACTGTTAACAGCATAAATGCTGTATCTACTAAATCTCCCCTTGAAAATTGACAATAATGGTTGAAAGTACTCATAACATTACTCACAATTAAGAAAAGTTTCTTTGCAAATTTCCAGATGACCTTGCCAAAAAGATCAACATACATGTAATTTCCATTGTATTTAATAAAACATTTAAATGACACATTGCTACCCAACTATATATATATATATATATATATATATATATATATATGGAGACACATTACATTTTAAATATGTGGTTTCAAGGAGTGCTTCAGACTAGAATCTTTACCTTTGTTGCTTTTTCAGCACTTGTACTTTTCTTGGGTGTATTATATCTGGAAATTTTGAGCAGAAACATTTTTCATTGAAAAAGTTTTTATAAACGAACTGAATATGAATTCTAGTTAAGACTTTCTTTCAATTTTGCATTAATGTAATTGAGGAAAGAGTGAATCAAAGTATCCCCGTGATCAGTCTTACCATTTATAATTCTGACATTATTACAAGAAAAGTCTATTGAAGTGGACACTCCAACTATCCCACAATTACTTTACTTGTCCAGATAACAACAAAATAGCTGCTATATGCATTGTCAGTCTTGTCAAATGAACAAGTAGTTATTTACTAAGCTTAACCCCTTTTGGAACAAGGCCAAAATAAGAGGAATTCAAACTCATTTTGCCTACTCTATTTTCTGTGACGATGAACCATAACATTATGAAAATAATTTTAAGATCAGCACAAACAATGGTAGCTGTTGCATAACCATCTGGAAAGACAAAAATATCTGCCTGAAATTAAAGATCAAACTGTTGCATGCATTGGCTTTCTCAATCTTTCTTTACACCTGTAAATCTTGGACATGGACAGCAGAATTACAACAAATAATCCAATTACTAGAAATGAGATGCTACAGAAACATCTTAGACATCTTCTACATTGACTGCATCTCAAATGGCACAGTGTAAAGAATAGACCCATTGGAAGACTTCATATCTATTGTCAAGAAAATGTTGAAATCATATGGCGACATCTTAAGAACCAACAATTGTGACATCCTACAAGGTGTCACCTTAAGCAAAAGAAGAAGAGACAGATGAAATAAATGGGCTGACAACATCACGGAATGAACTGGTAGATCTTTCATAGGGTCTCAGGCATTGACATACATCTGAGACATATGAAGTGAGTTGGTCAGGTGCCCAGCTACATAGAAACTCTACAACCACACCCAGTCATGGGACTGATGATGATGAACTATTGGACTACACTATGCCTACCTCCCAACATTACATAATATGCAAACTTTTATAATGCACTGGCCAAATGGTTCATTAGGTTTTCATTTAATTTTAAATTAACACAAAAAAATCACTTCTGATTATATTGTGACAATTATTACATCAGCACACTTTTTTTTTAAATTTTTGTCCAAACTGAGCTATTTTGGTTTAGTAATTTTAACACTGAAGATAGAAGGAAGAAAAAGCAACATTTTGGGAATATACTTTTTTATTTTAAGTAAAATAAAACTTAAAATTTAAAAAAAACAATATTCCAAAAATGTCACTTTTTTCTTTTTTTATTTTAAGATAAAAATCCATGGCTATGGGTAAAATAGCAGTGTAGACTGGACTATATAGCCTTGGGTGGCACCTAGTCTAAGAAAAGAAGATCTCTGAATTTCAAATCATAGAGAAAGCAATAGGAAACCACTCCACTATCTTACCTAAGAATTCATAATAATTCACAGATAAAGAAATGGAATCTGTGGTGAGCCTGTGTCCTGAAGGAACATGGTATTTAAAAAAAAGCGTAAAAAGAGGGTAAAAATGCTACTCAAATGCCAAAGATTTGTACAGTTTATAGAGAAGGTACTAAATGCTCATCTTTATTCAAAGTACTTCTTTGTACCAATTGAAAAGAATAAGACTAGAATTAGTTAAAAGGAAGAGTGTAATAATCCAACAGGATAACATTCAACCACATGTTTCTTTGGTGACCAAATATAATTGTTTCAACTTGGCTGATAAGTTTACATTCATATGCCATATTTAGCAGAAATTGCACTTTTAGATTACTATGTATTCTGAATCTTTAGAGAATTTTCAAATGTAAAAAAAAATTCAATTCCCTGGATAACTGCAAAAGGCACTTAAAGCCATTCTTTGTTAAGAAAGATAAAAAAAAATAGTAAATATGTTGTTTAATAAAATTAATATAGAAAATTAGAAATTTAATAAACCAAATGAATTTTCTGACCAATCTATTATTGTCCAAATTTTCAAACAAGTAATTATTACTTTACTTGTTGATTATTTATAATTTTAATTAGATTACAAGCATGACATTGTATAAAATGTCAGTTAAATATCTTGACTGAGTTTCATGCATCAAGAGATTTGATAGTAAAAATATTTAACTTATTATTAATGCTCTATCTCTTGATATGAAGCACTTTAATTATAAAGACCACTTGCCTTAAATATGTTATCTTCCACTATTATCCTGGTCAACTGAATTTTGGTAAAATCTAATCTTTGCTATATATAAGTTATTGTTATATATAAATTTATCCTAACAAATATTTGAAAATGATAAGATCTATAGAAATCATCCAGAATTAATAAGAGACACCATGGTATAATTACATTCTTTAAATATCAAGAAATTAGTCATCAGAACAGAATTTTTTTCTTTTGAATATTGAAGATAAAAAAGGAAATGAAATCAAAATGCCATTCCCTACTTTCTGCTGAGTGAGTGTAAAAGGTGTCTCGGCTCTTTGTCTTTTCTGATTTTATCTGCTCCAAAAGAATCAAATTCTCTGCTGTAAGCAAATCTATACGCTGTTCTGTCACAGATCTGAAAAAGCAAATTATGTTCATATTAAGAACTTTCTAATAACATGAGAACATTTTGGGATTTAAAATTATAAAATGAAAACATAACATTATTCTTCTCCTTCATGAAATATAATTAACAGCATGTGTTGGTTAATTATTAGTAAAATGCATAGAAAGTTCATTGTGGGTCTTTGCAAAAATAAGAATAGATCATAAGATAATTAATCTATTTTATGATTAAAGACAAAAAGAAATCTTATATTTTTATAATTTCAAAGAATGGTTCGTTGATTAAAAAATTTATATTTGTTTGAAGCAATTTCTCATGGAAAAATAATTACTAAAGCTAACATAATAATAATAATAATAATAATAATTTAATAATTCTATGTCATAATGATAATAACTGCATCAAATAGAAAACTGACAAGACCCCAGAAAAAATAGCAGATGCCAAATTTGTAGAAAAAGAGATGAAACAATAAATGTGGCAAGCTAGCCAAAAAAGAATACAAAACAGGCATAGCAGAATGCTAACAGTCATACACTAGGAACTGTAATTTTTACACAATTAATATTTTTAATCTGACAATATTTCTTATTACTATAAACATTATGTTTGTTTGTTTTTTTAAACAGTGAAGGTCAGTAGATACTAATTTAACTGTTAAAAAAAAGGATATCTACTCAGATACGTGTACCCCCACTAAATATAATGTTTATAGAAACAAGGAAAAGTGCAATTGACTTGGGTTTGACCAGAAAGAGAGAATTGGTATGTTTAACAGAGATTGTTTTTGAAATTAAAAATCATAAAATACTTTGGGAATTTGGCATCCAGTCTGATTAACCCATCAAAATGATAATTATGGATATGGCTGTGCCATCAGACCAAAGAATGAACATAAGAAAGAGTGAGAATAATAACAGGACCTAAAAGAAGGAGATAAAGAATATGGAAGTCAGTCATGCCCATAATAAACAGCACACATGGAATCATGACAAAAAAATATTGTAAATCTGAGGAAGTGTTGAAACTATACAGATGATAGTGTCTTTGGGGTCAGTGAGGATACGGAAAAAGAAGCTAGAAATTTGAGAGAACTTGTTGCCACACAATCTTCAGCAATGACCATCTGATTTAAATATGCAAATGCAGGAGATAACAATAATAATCAAGAAGAAAACATTGTTATTCTGGTGGATCCCAGAGTAAATTTAAAAGTGAAAATATAGATAAGTATGTCAGAGAACAAAGAAAGTTGTGAGACATGAAGGGTGTCAGTTGTTATCAAAGTGCTGGGAATGGTCCCAAGGAGCTTTAGAAAAGAACCAGAGGAGCTGGAAATTAGAGAAAGTCTTAGAATCATCCAGATAACAGCATCGTTGTTGAAAACAATCAGAATACTGAGAAGAGTGCTGGAGTATTGAGAAGACTTGTTGTCACTTCATCTCCAGTGTAAGTCTCCAGTTACTTATTATTGAGAAATAACAATAATAAAAAAAGATGGACAAAATGAAGATAAAGTTAAGCATGACTGATTTTTTACAGCTTATCAACATTTTGCAGGTTATTTAATGCCAGAAAATATTTTTCGATTGTAAGAATATTGGAAGATAATGATTTACTGATTCAATTCCTACTACTTAACCTATAACTGAGGGGAAAAAAGGTGGATTCATATCTTTCCCAATGTATTTGAGTGTAATTGAATATAATGATCCTGACTGGAATTGGAAATTGATTCTCCAATTTCTAATTTTGTAGTATTCTTTCTGTGTCTACTTTCAACACTGTGTCATCTGCATATCTTATATTGTTAAGATTGTGGCCACCAATAATGAATCCTGGTAGGATTTCTAATTCTCTCAGAATTGCCTCGCTGTGTAGGTTGAATAAATCCAGTGAGAAGATACGTCCTTGTCTTACATTCTTTTCTATTTCTATGTATCTGCTGAACACATTTTATCATGCTGCCAGTACGGTTCATTTTTATATCTAGTAGTTATTGTCAGGCAACTTGGTCTTGAAAATAGGTTTTGTCATCATTGTCTTTGTCATTCTGTTGGTAATCTTTTTATTCCAAGATATATTTCCATTTCACTGCTATATTAAACACATTTTTAACATGAAAAGATATTGAATAAAAAGTGATTTATATAATACCAGGAGTAATCAATGAATCATAGATACCATTAAATGTCTAAAAAAATATTAAGGGAATGGATTAATTAAACAGTTTATTGGCCCCTAGTTTAGTTGTGAATTCTTTATTTCTGCTTTATTGAATCTCAATACATTGTTTCAAGACTTTTGTTTCATTGCATCTCACTATTGAAACTTTTTAACAGTTGCTGTCATTTTTGATGGTATACTAATAATGTAATAAATATTCATTCATATTATTTATTAAAACATGTATTAAAGAAGAAATAATTTTAACTGGATGCTACAATCACTTTTAGAAAGATAAATATTGTCAAAATGCAATCAAGATGAGGTTTGAAGCACCAATAAATTATTAAATCAAAAGAAGAACAGAGAGCAATATGATAAGGCTGGTATGATTGGTAAAAATAAATATTGTGAATTTTTTTTTCTTTCAGAAATCTAACCTTTCTAGAACATGGCTGCTTCCTGAGGTCAGTTTATCCAGCTTTTCATGGAGATTTTCATTTTCAGTGATTAACTCACTGCAATAATTGGATGCTTTCTCAAATTCTTTCTTAGATGAAAAAGAAAAACATAGAAATTTAAAAGATTAATTATTACTATAATAAATAATTTTAATAAAATAAAATTTCATAAATATATGATATTATTCATATTAAAATTTTGGTTATATTTATACTGGCATATTTACAACTATCATACAATAATCATCACTAGAAAAATAATCATTTTTAGAATTTAAATGAATTACATAAAAGCAGAAACTGAAAGCTGATAGGATAATGCTACAAATATAAATGCTGAAACTGTAACCATAAATAATATCTGCATGATAATAACAATAATATTCTAATACAATGATAAGCAAATATAATTGGGTGAGAAAAGTGATCATCAGGAACTGGTGCAAATGACTGGTATTTGACCACACAAACCAATAGAAATTGCTCTAAAAAAAATAAAAAAGTAAAATTCTTTGGGACATTGAAAAAATTCAATTGGATCACCTTATCCAGGCTGGAAAAACAGATCTAGTCTTCGTTACTGTTCTGGTAGATCAGTGAGTTACATTAAAAGAAAGTGGATTGTCAGATAGATATCTAGATCTTGCCAAAAATAAAAAAAAAAGAAGCTGTGCTCATCATTACTGGAGCACTTGGAACAATCCCAAAGAACCATGCAAAGTAGTTGGAAAAATTGAAAGTCAACTCCTCACAACCTACGAATTATAGAGCAGCTTATCTAACCCATTTAGAAACAGGTAGTTGGCTGCAGCAGGGACAAATATTTTGGGATTTATGCATGTCCAAAGGCCCACAAAAAAATGAATATATCTCAAATAAAATAACTACATTTGACATATTGTGTGAAAATCTAACTAGTAACTTGTACAAAAAAATATTTCCCTACATGCACACATACTATCAGGTCATCCCATAAGTTCTGTCCGAATTTTGAATGAAGAAAACAAGTGACCAAATGTTACATTTAATTACAGATTCAATCAACAATGTATTTTCCCTGATTATCTATGACTTCCTTTCATCTATTAACAAGCTTACTAATTCCATTACTGTAAAATTCTTTTGGCTTTGATTCGAAGAACTCATAAATGTCAGTTTTAATCTCTTCCTGTGTTACAAAAGCTGTTTCTTCCAAATGATTCTATAAGCTATGAAACAAATGGTAGTCTGAAGGAGCAAGATCAGAATAAGGTGGATGAGGAATTTTCTCCCAACCATGTTCTTCGATCTTTTGTAACGTGATTCTTGCTGTGTGTGGCCGCGCATTGTCCTGATAAAACATCACCTCTTTTTGATTCACTAGAGCAGGTCTTTTTTTCCTCAAAGCTTAGTTCAAACGCTCTAATTGCTGACAGTATATTTGAGCATTAATTGTTGCATTAGGTGGTAAGAATTCAAAGTGGATTATTCCTTGGCGATCCCACCAGGTTGAAAGAAGAACCTTTTGCCCATGAACTTCCCTTCTCGGCTGTGGCTGGGGTCCTTACCCTTTACCAAGCCATTGTCTACGACACTTAACATTTTGATAAAAGATCTATTTTTCGTCGCCAGTCACATGTCTATCCAAAAAAGGTGAAACAAGTTGGCGAGAATGGAGAGAAGAGCAGATGTCAACTCGGGATTTGAGGTTGTTTTCAGACAATTCATGAGGCACCCATTTTCCAAGTTTAGGAAATTTTCCAAGTTGTTGAAGATGACGATGAACAGTTGTATGGTTTGAACTGAGAACCACTGACAATTCCTCAACTGATAAAGCAGGATTTTCTTCAAGGGCTGCTTCAAGAAGCTTTTCATCAAACTCAACTGGACGTCCGGTTCGATCTTCATCTTCAAATGGTGAAATCTCCACCTCTGAATTTTGCAAACCATCTTCTGCAAGTTCTTTCATTCACACATGCCTCTCCATAAACTGAGTGAATGTTTCTAGCCGCTTCGGCTGCTGAGTTTCCTTTCTTGAACTCATAAAGCATTATGTGCCTCAAATGATTCTTGGGTATTTCCATGTTAGCAGGGTTTTAATCAAACAAAATTTAATTTTATTGTTTTCTGAAATAAAATTTGATCAGTTTAAATGCATCTAAACATAAAAATAATGTTCAGCTCCATTAGACATTATAAAATACTCTTTAAATTTCGTTCATTTTAAGAAAAAGTTAAAATTCAGACAGAACTTATGGGATGACCTGATATATAGATCCTGTTGGAAGCTCTTAGGCAGGCCAAAAGCTCACCCTTGCTCTTGGTAGTCTTGCAGCTGATATATAAGTAATAATGACTTTATAGAGTTTTACATAAAATTACAAATTCCATACCTTATACATTGTAAGATTGGCTTCGAGTTTCTCAATCTGTTCTCCATATTCCATGACAAGTGGTGAGAGATATTTTGTGCTAATCTGAAAAACCAAGACATTTCAAAATGCCATTTCAAATGTTGAGTCAATATAAATTTACTAAAACAACGAATGTACAAAGAAACAATAAATAAACTACCTTATTAGTAAAGAAATGCCTGCAACTGTGTCCCTGGAAAAGTTTTAGGAGGATCTTAGGATTATTCATAGGATTGTTTTTACAAAATATACAATTTTAAAACAAACCTAATCAATGTGTAAAATGAAAGTTAACGATTAAGCCAAACAGCAGAAAGTAACTTATAACTGTTAAGAGGAGAAACCTGAAAAATTATCTTCAGGAACATTTATGCTACAATGTGAAATACTTGCCTTGTATTATCTGTATTTTATTTCTTGCTTTGTATTTATCTGTATTTTATTTATGTTACAATGTGAAATACTTGCCTTGTATTATCTATATTTTATTTCTTGCTTTGTATTTATCTGTATTTTATTTATGCTACAATGTGAAATACTTGCCTTGTATTATCTGTATTTTCTGACCTCATCAATTTTAATATACAAATTTTGATAAAGGATAAATAGAAAATTAAAGTAACTTTTCGTCTGTTGAACACAGATTAAATTTTCAATACTTATTTTGAGCAGAAAAATAGCACTTCCAATGCTGGCAAATATACAAGGGGGAGGTCATTGAAAAGTTCTTGGTTCAACCAAGAAGGGATTCAAAAAGAAATTTGGGACAGATTGTGGAAAGTAAGTCAAGCTGAAAAATTTTCAACTAAATGTACAATCACAAGGTCAGGAGAAGTCTGCTCCCAAAACATAGAGAGTGTGTCTGTGAGGATATGTGTGTACACCCAAAGTAAGATTCAACACTTTGGAAAACAGCAGATATCTGAGGAAAGCTTGTGGTTACATGGCTAAGATATTGTGGAAAAAAAGAAAAAAAAACAACAACAAAATCAAGGAAATTAGTCTGAAGAAAATTACATAAAATGACACGACAAAGTGTTTTAATTATTGAAAAAATGAAGTTATCAGTTTTTACCCTGACTTTGGAATAGACAATTCACTTTGATTTTAGGCTAAAAAATATTTACTCAATCTACCCATCAGAATTAAATTTATTAACAAATTATAACAAAAGTGTACCACAGCAGTCTCCTTCAAAGAATTTAAATTATACAGCATTCTCAAACAGTCACTCAACCAGGTAATGACCAACTGGATATTGCTTAATTGTAGTAAAATTGATACATTAAACTGAGAAGTTGACAGAAAAAGTATTTTGATTATTCTGTACAGATTCCAGATTAAGCAAACAATTTTAAGTGATTTTTTCATCTATTATACACTAATTTATTTAGACTAGTATCAGCACCTTCTAACATTTCAATTGCTATACTCTCCAGGCCTTTTTATGGGGGTCCTTTTCTTCATATATGGAGCCAGGCCATTGATTCAATGGAATTAACAATTTCTGGAAATATGGAATGAAACACTTTATTCAATGCATATGGTGAGAATGCTCCTGAATGAGAACCCAACCCAACTCCCATAGATTGAATGATGTCTCTGAAGTGATAGCATTGCTGCCAAACACCATGACAAGCAAGAGAAATTATGAAAAGATGATTGTGGATTGATACCAGAAAAGCTATTTTTACCCAAGCAACATTAAGTCAATTTAGTAATTTGAATATAAAGTAGAACTGTTTTCATATTTAATAAGCTTAGAACAGCATAAAGTAGGGCACCCAGTGTGAGTCAAAGATATATCATTAAATAATGGTTTGTGAGACTAGTTTAATAATTGTGACACCATATCAATGTTGTCTCATAGGAGAATCGTTTTGATATTTAATAAGGTTAGAACAGCATAAAGTAGGGCGCCCAGTGGGAATCAAATATATATTATTAATAATGGTCTGTGAGACTAATTTGATAACTGCTACTCTATGCCAATGCACTTGCAAAGTAAAATTGTTTTGATATTTAATAAGCTTAGAATACCACAAGGCCACAAGTGTAGGCACACAGTGAGGATCAAACATATATCATTACTATACTGTGAGACTAGTTTGCTAACTTCCACTCCATAACAATGTACTTGGCAAAGAAGAATTGTTTTGATTAATCAGATGAACATTTTTCATATGAATTTCAAAAAGATATTCTCTGTTGTACTTACAAGCCAAGAAGGAATTGGTCCTTGAGTTGGTAAACCCTCAATATTTTGACACTGAAAAACAAAATAATAGTAGGTATATACAATATATTTAACAAATAATCTTCAACAAAATCAAAAAGTTATTAGACTGATATAAATTGTTAGTTTTGTCAAAAAACATTTAACCTTTGTATTCAATGGCTTTTACCACACAAATTTTCATGATAATTGTTTGATACTTCAATTTTATGAATTTAAGCACAGTATTAGATTGGTAGTTAGGTCACATCATTTTTCAGTTGAAATGGCTAAATATAACTGTATTTCTATGCTAACAGTTTCTTCAATTGCACTTCTAACCTGTGGAACTCTCTTCTGGTTTCTTGCTTTCCATTCAACTTTGAGCTTCAGAAATTTAAATGCAATATCAACCACCATCTTCTGTCACTTTGAATTTTATTCTTTTATTGTCCTCTCTTCTCTCCTTAATAACAATTTTTCTCATGTCTTTTCGATCTCAGTAATACTTTGCATCTTAATGTCTTTATCACCTTGCTTGGGGTGGAAATGATAAAAAAAAACAATTATTTAAAACACCATCATACAATAAGACCACATCATTTATTAAACTTTTCACCGTCATATTTCACTTGAGAAATTATCAGTAAGCTGTCATATTCTACATTCTACTATAATCAAGTCAATAAAGTACAAAATCTTCATAATATTTTGTTTTATTAGTTGCTAAAAATTACCAGTGATCACGATCTTCAGTTGCACAACTGTTCTATAAGTTCTTAAAAACATTGAAGAGAAGTGCCATGATGTCTTGCACCATACACCATTTATCCATTGTATTTTTATACAAAGGATAAATTCCAGGAAAACCTAAGAAAAAAGCAATAATTTTTTTTTAAAAAAAACTAACAAAAAAGTTAGGAATAACTTTTTTTTTTATTTGAAAAATAAAGATACTAATTTGACAGATTAATGACTTCATCTCAGAACAATATTAGAGAAAGTCATATAATGCATCATCCAAAATAAACTGATCAAAACAACAAAGATTAGGATACTACTCTAAATAATTGATGGCATAATGATATGGTTTCATGTAAGAATTTCAAATCACATGAAGGCTGGAAGGGGCACTGGTCAAAACAGTAATCAAAAAGCAAATATGAGAATACTAGTTTGAATAGTACATGGAATAATGAGTAGACTTCCTGTGAGAACTTCACACATATGCTAACATAGGCAACTATACAACTTAAAATATATAAATGATATTCATCACAAAGTATATGAAAATACAAAGTGTTACCTTTCCATTAGAGTAAAGAATGAATTGGGTAAAACAATGATTACTCACTTGCTCCAGGATTTGAGCACTGCAATATTTTGCTTGGTATTTGCTGAGTTCAATATTTAGCCGATGAACTATATCCCTGAGATTAATGATCTCTGTTTTCAGCTGCTGTTCACGTCCTTGATCAGTTTCGGAAAAGAAAAAAAAAAATCAACATTTTGCAACTAAACTTAAAATAAAAAATGCAGTAACATATAATAATTTTTTTGAGGCAATGTCTAATATACATTTTTAAAAAAAAAACAAAAATATTAAACTGGATTTATACATTCTATTTTTCCTCTTTTTTGAAAACTTTATTTTATTAGATTGTTAATTTAAAATTGGTTTGGTTGGCTTTGTTTAGCAGCATATCAACCTCTATGGGTTATTTAATGATGAAATCTAAATATTTTGAATATAGTTTTATGGCTTCAACTACAGATAAAATTTATTATTGGCTATTTTGCTATAAAATTTATTGTTGGTAATTCTGTTTTAAAAAATGTATTGTTGGTAATTCTACTATAAATATGTATTGTTGGTAATTTTTTATATAAAAATTAACTGCTGGAATTTTTACTATAAAAATGTATTTTTATACTTTCAGTGTTTAGGGGTTCACTATTTGACCATAGCTGGGACTCTAACAGGTGCTGCCAACCAGCGCTAGGTTGGACCTGAAAACAACAGCAATTAAGAGGTGGTTCTACACTCTGAAAAAACCTCCAATCTCCCAATCAGAGGCCTTGCTGTTTCTCCCAGATTCTCTTACCTTCATTATATCCTGTGAGTGTTACACTTCCTTGGCCTTCTTCCCTCATTATATGTCCTTGTTCTGCCATCTATTCACATCATCTATTCACATCATTAGGTAGGTTACTTTCTGTTTCTTCTTGCTTCTCTTGCCTTTATTATATCCTGTGAGTGTTACACTTCCTCAGCCCTCTTTCTTCATTATCTGTCCCAGAAATTTAAATTGTTTTCTGACTATAAGTATACATTTCCTTGTTGTACCTATATCTTTAAGTAATCCTTGTTGCTCATATGATTTTCCATTGCATTCTTAGCATTCATCACTAGAAACATTTCTGTTGTTTCAAGTATATTTTTCATCCATGAGGAAATTGTTCAGCATTCACTATCATAAAGGAGATTAGATATTACATAGCAATTCAGCACTCTTTTTTTTTATTCTAATTACATTTTTCTATGTCTTTGTTTAGTTTCTTGAATACATATTTTGCTATTCTTGCACACTTTTGGATTTCTATGTCACATTTTCCATTATGTGTCAGTACATTACCTGGATAGTTCAATTTCTGTACCGGCTTGATTTTGAGATTTACAAGGTACAATATTGTTTTGATATGACAAAAGTGAAATATTTCTTACTATGATTTACGGCTTCTGTTTCATGTAACTCTTCACTGCTTCTTTGTTCTGTTGATTCAAATATCCCTGTTTGGGTTTCTTCTGCCAAATGCACAATATCCTGAAAATAAAATCCAAGAAAATATAAATGAATTACAATTCCCAATGTGTGGGTCACAGAACTACTACAAAAAACAATTTCATTTATCAATTGTTGCTCTATAGACTGTAGATAGGCCAATATATAGGCCATAGTTTAAGATATTCACAACTGAAATGATCCTTCAACTGTGAGTACTGTCCCAACATTAAAGCCACTTTTATTTCAATACAGCCTATATGGGAAAAGTATGTGTCTTACAGCAGACACATAAATGCTGCTCCCATAAAAGTGCCGCCCAAGGCAGACCCCCCCACACACTCTAGCTACACCACTGTACTAGAACTAAAATCATGAAGAACTCAGTGAGGAATGAGCACACTAGCAATGGCTTGGAAGAAGGTTAATCATTGCTCTATGGTAGATATTTGTTGAACAAAATCAACCTAAGTACAAGAATATGTTTGTGAAGCAGTGATTGAGGAATGTACTAACTATCAATGGCTTGTAAGGCATATAGATATTTGCTGGGAATGGCTGACTTAGGCATGAAACAAAAATAACTGATGACATAGTGAAGAAAAATTCCTTATCAATGGGTTGTAAAACTTGCAGTTAATTAGTAAGTCAAAAAAAAAAAAAAAAAAAAATGATGAGGACACTCAGTGAAGATTAAACTCACTGTCATTGGTCTGCATAATCAGCTTGTATCAACACTTAAGATATTTAAGCTGTTAAATCCCTGGAGTCCTGGCAAAATTGTTGGAAAATTGGAATATGTGATGTTAGTTCAATTGCTATATATCAAAAACTATTGGAAACCAAGTCTTACAAATTGATTTTATATGAAAGCAAATTGATTTTTTTCTTTTCTCTCAAATTTAGCCTCCTTGGTATTAATAGTTAGGAGATATGGTTTAGGGTTTGGTTTGGTTTATTTTACGGCATATCAACCTCAATAGGTTATTTAGTACCGACAAGATTTTTAGGATAGGTTTGCATGAACAGAATATTTATTCTTTGTAAAAAAAAATCATTTTGTAGATCAAGTTTTATTGACATATTTTTGTAAAGAGAGTTTTTGTCGAGATTCAAATGTATTACTGGCAATATTTAATTTTTTTTTTTTCAAAAATGTACTGCTGGTAAAATTTTTTTGACAAAAATGTATTACTGATAATTTTTTTTTTTTTAAATATATTGCTGGTATTTTTACCATAAAAATCTATTTTTATACTTTCATAATGTTTTGACCCCAGTTTAGGGGTTAACTATTTGAACATAGCTGAGACCCTAACAGGTGCTACCACCCCATGATCCATGGTGGACCTGGGAACAACAGCAATTAAGGGGTGGTTCCATGCTCCTCAAAACCTCCTGATCAGAGGCCTTGCTGCCAGATGTAGTTTGTCATACCCAGGACATATATGGTTTAGGAAATCTACAAGTTTGTAAAATTGTCGAATTTGGCAGGAATTCTGCAGACAAAAATCATTTTTTGCATGGCATGTTTTTTCTCTGGTGGAAAGAATAGAACTTACTCCTCTGCACTGCCAAGAAAAAAGAATGATAACAATTGACTATTAAATACTTAGCAAGGTGTTTCAACTCCATGCATAGAATTTAAGGTAAAATATCAAATTCTTTGGTTTGAAGAAATCAGTTCTGATACTGACAATCAGATAAGGAAATAAAACTTGTGATAAGTAACCAAAAAACAAAAATAGAAAGGAAGAACTATACAGGTTACTAACCTCTTCAATTTCCTCTGTTTGAAAACAATTTCGTGCTAACAAGGTTTCTTCCAAAACTGGAGCAGGCAAACACTGGTTGGAAAATAAACATTTTTTTTTAAAAAAAAATGAAACATTTGGATTCACTTGCATATCTTCACAGCATCAAATCTAAGACATATTTTCAAAAAAATGTCTAAATGATAGGATATCAGGACAGAGAGACAAGTTAAAACAGCTTCAAATTGCATTGTTTCAGCCTTACAATAGGAAAAGGTTTCCTGATCCTAAACTTATTTTCAATCATTTTTATCAAATTTTGTCACTGGCTTGACATATGAACTGAGTAATGGATGAGTCTTACGACTATCATTTTTAATTTCATGTTTAGAAACTACTCCCCATTGAGAATAAAGATTACTTCTGAAATAAGGATCAGGTAGACAGCATACAGTATTGCATGAAACATATGCAAGAAAAAAATGTCTATTGCATTTTTTGTGTATAATACAACTTGAGTATAATACAAACCCATGTTTCTGAAGCTAAAAACAGAATAAATTACATCCTTGAGTATAATAGAAGAGTAGAGGCATCCCTATGTAAATTTTTTTGAAAAATTGCACTATATTATCCATTAAAATCTCAATGTCATACATGTTTCACTAAAATATTTCATTTTTCACAATATTAAAGAATAGAAATGAACTGTGTAAAATTTTAGGAAGAAATGATTTATTGAGAGGAATACCAACATTTGCCCATGATTTCATTGTAACAAGTTGGTAGTAAGTGGACTGTTTATTGAATCCACAGGGGTCATTTTTTTTAATTTAGTAGTAATTTGTGTGGGGAAGGAAAGTTTGTTCTCATTGACTGTGTTCCAGGTGCAGATGCAGTGACCATTGAAGTTGGGGCAAGAAAAATTGTTAGTTTGAAACTTAGCAAACTACAAGAAAGGTTGGGTTTTTTTTACCCTGCTTTTAAAAAAAAAGAGCAGTGTAATTTTGTCTTTTTTCATATGGAGTTCATTTGAAAAACCCAAAAGAATTTAAAAGAAATAACTGAATTCGTTCAGTAAAGGATGATTTCTTATGAGGAACATAGAGATAATGAGAAAATCTCCCTTGAAGAAGAAGAATTTATAAGAGAAGATTTCGAGGAGTTATTAAAATTATTCTTGTGGAAGAAAAGCAGGGGTGCTGACTTATTCAAGAATTTGTCAGACCCACGTGTGTTGAGAAAGCCTTCCCCACACAGACTAGAAGAGAAGAAGTCTATTCGGATGAGAGGTCTCAAAAAAGAAAGAGAAATCTCTGTCTCAAAGGAAAGGAAAAAAAAAGGAGAACAAGAACATCCAAACTTTGATAAAAAAAAAAGTGGTAGAGCAATATGCTCTTATATTGTTTGCCTTTGTATCATGATAGGTGGACAATTTTTTCATTTTGTATATTTTCTTTTGTGTTAAAGAATTATTTCCTGCATGATGGATGTATATGCAGCTTGTAATAACATAAATATTGTTGCCAGTTCTAATAAAGCAAATCAAGAAAGAAGCATTGTCTATTATATTTGCAATGAATAAATTCCACAAGTTCTTAAATGGATGGGAATTTACTCTTCAAATGGACCATCAATCATTGTTATCAATATATGGATCTAAAAAAGGTGTTCCTACACATACAGTGAATAGGCTGCAGTGCTGGGGAACGGTCCTATTAAATTATAACTAGAAGATGGAATTTTTACCATCTAAGAAGCTAATTTATGCAGACAGATCGTCTTGATTAGTACCAAAATGTTGTGAACCACTGGAAGACACAGTAATTGCTGCAATTAGTGCCAAAAGTGAAATAAGCAACATACTATATAATACCATGAGAGAGCTGCCAATTACACTGGAAGAAATAAAAATTAAGACAGAGAATGACCATTTCATAATAAAAATGAAGGATAAACTAAAATCTACAGGAAAAAATACTATTGGAAATACTAGTGCATTTTCATTGTACGATAGTATTTGGATGTATGCTGAGAGAGTAGTTATACCAGTGTCTTTACATAGACGAATGTTGAAAGAGTTTCACGGATGAAATCTTTAATGAGATGTTACACCTACTGGCCAAATATGCATAAGGATATAGAAAATGTGGTAAAACTATGCAGAGGTAAAACAAGCAGAACATTTTGTTAACAAGTTTAAGAGGGCTTTAACGAAATCGAAGGGAGAGGAGTTGGACAAGATTATGATTCAACAGTTTTTAAGTGTTTATTGTATTACACTAAACTCTGTGTAAGGAATGTCACCGGCAGAATTGATGTTCGCTAGAAAAATCAAGTCCGTCTTCAATAAGCTGCTACCTGAATGGAAGACAAGAATATCAAAGGGTAACTACATAAATACCTAATTCAAACCTGGAGAAAAGTTATTTTTCAGGATATATCAGCACAAGAAGGAATTTTGGCAAGATGGTGTCGTTAAGAGATGTATTGGCAGAATGACATACATAATACAAGGACAAAAGTGGGAGCACAAGCGAAATATTAACCAGCTAAAATGTTGTTTCACCGAATTAAAAGTCCCTGAATGGAAGTATCAATGAAAATCCTTTATAACACATTCAACGTTCCTACGCCAGCAGAAATAGTGCAACCAAGGGTTTATGACAAAAGAAAAGGAAGGCCAACAGAGTTTCTAACCATCGAATCAAAGCTAAAAATATATAAGCCCTAGGGGAGGTCATTTTAAAGGGGAGGTGTTGTATAAGAATAAGTGTCATTGCCAACACCTGGGTTGGTGTTACTCACTGGTAATCTAGTGATCACCAGTGAGTAACATGGGGAATTCCATTATTAAGTAGATAAAGTGAATAAATAGGAAGTAGCGTGATGACTATATGATCATTGTTCAATCTTTTTGTTTATCCACAATTGCTATACATTCACTCTCTCTACTATACTACTATATGGATTACGATTCTCTTCTGATCATTATACTATTTGCTGATTACTACTTTGATTGTTTTGAGTGTATTTGCAGTCTTGCTGTTTCAAGTAAGAGCTTTTTTAAGCTGAGTAAAAATTTCTGAAAAAGTGTAATTGTATATAATATGACCCCTCCACTTTACTTTCATTCAAAATTTCTTGTTTTATGCACAAGAAAATACAATAATAAAAAGCCTAAGCAGATATAAGTTTTAAAAATGCCAAAGAGTAGAGATAAGTTCAAATTTGAAATAATAAAAAAGGCTGCTCATTTTTGTCAGAAAAACCACACAATCAATTTTCAAATCTTTATTTTGCCAGTTACAATGACATTCTGCTTTTCATGATTTTTTCAAGTTATTTTTATTGCAATTTCTGAGGTTACATGTTCATAACATATTTTCTACAAAAGCACCACACCACAAATCAAATAAAAACAAATTCTGTATCATTTGTTTTCTTTTTATTTTCAGTTCTGTTTTAAATCGAGTTGATTCACTTGCGATAATTTGTCAAATATATAAATCTTTTATTCATAAACTTATATCTGAAACTCAATGACATTTCTCTGTATCTAAGCAATTGTATTAGTTGATGAACAAAGTTTATTGTTTTTGTTGTATCCTTAAAAAGATTACAAACAGACAAAGGTGGTACTTGAGTGAAAGGAACAGCAACACAGGCATAGATAAAAGAAGAGAGGTTTATTGTAAAAAGAAAATACATTACTGAAAGACAGGGAATCGACTAGCACCTCTCAAAGCCAGTCTCAGGTATGTTCTGTGCACACTACATATATCTATCTTCTTCTATCTATATAAAACTGACTATGTATGTGTGTGTGTGTGTGTGTGTGTGTGTTCGCGAACTACTCGAGAACCATAAGGCATATTTCCACCAAATTTGGAACATAGATTGTACTCGATACTGGATGTGTCTGGGCAAAAAAATTAGTCATTTTTCAAAAATCAATAACCGATAATCAATAAATATAATGTTTAAATGGGAACTTCCATTAGGTTGACTGTTTTTAAACTTTCAGGCTTGAAGTCTAAACCCTAAGTCCGATTTTAATGAAACTTGATAAGTATATGCAACTTACTGTCACGCTCATTATATGCTATATTGATTTTCGTTTCTCTTGACACTGGGACCCCCAGAGTGCCGCAAAGAGACCAAAAAAAATTCAAACTGCTTCGATTTTGATGAAATTTTGCATGTTTGTTACGCTCTTACAATGAGATAGAAATCGGTTGTCAGATTTTTAAAAATGCATGAGTGGGGCCCCAGGATGACCCTATAAACCCCTTGATGCCTTAATTGCTTTTCAAGTGTATTTTGTAGCAGTATTCCCCAATTTCAACGAAAATTTCAGTACACATTGAGATTATATCGAGTAACTGAAGTAGTCACTTGGAATTCACTGAAAATGCACTTATGATAATGTAAAGACCCTCTTTCGATTCATTTATAATTATGCTAAACTTAACGTGTATGTTTTAACGTTCATAGTGAGTAGGTTTCTAGCTGCACGTTAATTTTTATTTTTACCACTAGAACATTTTTTGGTAGTCTATTTTTAGATAAATCCCAACTTTATGAGCTTGCTTATAATTGTTTGCCATGTTCCCGTGGTCTCCCTTATAAACTTGCATTTAATTTATTGTGGCTATATTTCCATTAATGTGCATAATATTCTTGCTTTTTAATTGATTACTTCATTGTTATTCAAAAAGCTTAGCCAAACCCCTCCAACTACAGCCTGACAGTAATACCAAGAAAGCAAAATCCTTCACTTGGACGTGCTACTACTACAGCCAAACACATGAAAGCACGGAGAAGAAACACTTTGCAACAAGAAACTCAAATTAGACTGACACAAAATGCTATTCATACAGCTAATGCAAGGCCAGCAGAAACTAATGAGCAACGGTTAACTAGACGAGGAAGGAATGCTGCCAGAACTTCTGCCACTCGAGCTGTTGAAACTGAGGAGCAAAGAACAATTCGATATACAAGAAATGCTACTAGAAATGCTGCTGCTTGAAATTCTGAGAGTGAGCAACAGCGTATTGCTAGACAGATACGAAATTCAGCAACTACTGATG